TTTGTACAGTTCTATATAATTCTTAACTAGAGAGCTGAAAGTTTACTAATGAGAACTATTTAATTGAAGGTGGATGTCTAAACTTGAATGTTACTTCCAACATTATCTACATTATTATTGTTTTAATCTTTTAGCATACATTATCATGGGCAACTTGGGCTGTTTATTTTATGACTGAAGTTGGAAAAAAGTCTTTAGCAGGTAACCAGATTCCATATTGTTAATTTCATATTAACTTTAAATTTTTAGTGTTTAGTTGGGTTTTTTAAAAACATGTATCCTGTTAAAGCCTGGACAGTTTAAATGTTAATTATTTTTTTTACACCTCTGGATATTATATTATGTAACTATCTTCTTTACAATCTTTTTCTTAAGCCTATCTGTGAGTTGGTGTGGAAATTTAAAAAATCATTGAAATAATTAATTTAAAACCATTTTATGTGCTAATATTAAAGATTTGAAAAATATATTTTACCAACACTTTGAAGATTAGCCAAAGGGGTCATCCACAAAAAATCAACAACCCCCCCCCCCCCCCCACCTCTTGTCATTTGTTTTGTTTTTTTATATTTTATACCAATGATATGTTATAGATGAGTGTGTTATTTTAAATAACTGTTACTTAGTCCATATACTATGTAGGTGTACCTTAAACTCATGAGCCATTGAAAGTGTTAAATACCATCAGAGCATCCCATAAGTGCTCTTGTTTGTTTTAAGGGCTCTTCTTGTTAGGAAATTATTATAAATGTGCAGATTCACTATGTTGGGAGGGGGTATTAAGGTAGAGGCCTTTTTCTAAAAATACTTTAGGCTTCTGACTTACCAGGTGACATCTAATACCTGCAAATGTATTAGCAACTCATTACAACCCATATATATGGTCACTAGGACAGACGAGCAAGGTGGATTCACCCAGCTACATTCTATATTTATGCTAAAGCCCATCATATAATTAGTATTTACACAGCCTTATAATAACTATACAAGCTTTTAAATGCCCTACAGTAATAAAAATCAGAGAAAATGCAGTGCTATATTTTTTTAAGGCAAAGGTTCTTAAGTCGTTTTAGTTGTTAATTCCTTCTGACACTTCTGGACATTGTTTTATGTTAATTCTTTTTATTTACACAGCTGCTGATTTCTGTGGGGAGAAACTAGCTTGGCTGTTTGGGATAACCACACCGAAATATCAGTATGCTATTGAAGAATACAGACGCAGACAAAAGGAGGTAATACTTTTTTTTCAAAGTGATATGCTTGGTTTAATTAATTTAATTATCCCATATTTTTATAAATCAAATTATAAATTTTAAAATGTGATATATTGATATGAAAACACCATAATTAAAATTTTAAATAAATATTTTTGTTTATGATAACTTTAAAAAAAGAAATAGTTTTATACAAATAATAATGGATGTTATCATCATATCATTGCAACATTAGTTAGAGGAGGAACTGAAACAAAATAAGCAGCGACCTGAAGAAACACAAGGATTGTCAACAATAAATGTGCAAGTAGACAACAAACCAAAAGATGCATCAGAGAAGTATTAGAGAAATCAACGTGGGATTAATGGCATCAGCAATCTTGGTTTAAATGTCAACTTCTTCACTGAGACAAACAATGAGAAATTAGCAGACAATCATAATTTTCCAATTAACTAGCTTTGGAAATGTTTACATATTTTTATAATGTTTATTTTTGGCCCTGCACATTTGTGTCTCTTGCCAGTCATCTGATTTACATTTTACTTTTTATTATGATTACCAAGGCTTTCAAAAGTTCATTATTAATTACATTTAATGCAACATCTTCATGTTCTGTGTAACATCGTCTACAAGTAGTGTAACTTGGATGTGGAAGAAATTAAACAATTTTATTTTAGAATATATTATAATATACATAAGTTATTAGCCTAAAACTGTAACATTATAATATTAGAGCTATAAGTAAAAGTTAGGATTTTATTTGTTTTTATAATGCTAATTCATTGCAGTTTGCTTTATTTGCTATGTTGATGATTCAAGATGGGCATCAAACTTTTATACTCATAATGTCAAGTCACCTTTTTGTGATTACTTTAAAAATCCAGTTTAAAATTTAAAATATTGTTATTTTGTATTGATTTACGAAATGTAAGCAAAAGAAATAGAAAACTGAAGACAAAACATAGTTAAAATATAAAGTCAAATTATTTTTACAATTGACCTTTTGTAAGCTCATTATTAGAATAATGTTCACTTGAAAACTTTTTTATTTTATTTTTTTTAAATCTTATTTTATTGTACACAGGAAAGTTATTATTAGAATTTCTATTCTCTTGAGCTGTTGTAAAATGAGAGTAAATTATGTTATAAAAATGAATTATTTATTTTTCTATCAAAACATAATTATGAGCCAGAATTAAGGCTAACATAGTTAATTGATAATTTGTGCAATAGTAATGCATTTATCCTCCAGTAAATAGTAAAATTTGTAATCCATATATATATATATATATATATATATATATATATATATATATATATATATATATATATATATATATATATATATATTATATATATATATATATATATATATATATATATATATATATATATATATATATATATATATATATATATATATATATATATATATATATATATATATATATATATATATAAAACTTAGTTTTCTAGCTAATAAAAATAGATGAGTAGCATTTTCTTTAAAACTGTAAATACTGTGATTGCACATCTTACTTTAATTTACCTTAGAGAATTTTTTTCCATGTCTGAACACAATTAGATTAACGATTTGATTTTCAAAAATCCAGTTTTACTATTTGAAAAACAAAATGTTTACCAATGTGTCTTGTTTAATGGATTAAGCTATCACTTCACATCTTGGATTATTTGTGTAAGATGTCAATCAGCTTTCTATGTCCACACCATCCTTTCTGCTTGTGCTGATGTTACTCCCAGTTTCATGACAGTGTCTTACAACATGCCAGTTGTCACTCTCAGATGTTTTAACTTGTTTGCACCTTGCTAAAATAAATGACCCTCTGCCTTCTAATGAACCTCTTGATGTCTTCTTGTGAAACGTCATCTGTTCTGTCTCTCAAAACCTTTTGATATCACAATCACACAATCACAGCATTTGTTTTACAGATTACATTGTACAATCAAAAAAAATTTTAAAATAAAAATCGTATTCCATCTTTTTATGGCCACATGTAAATTAAATAAAGGTCATGACACAAGCAACAATCTTTCATGCTATCATTTTTAAACAGAGACCATTCCAACAATTTTTTTTCATTTGTCCATTCTTTCTCATTTAAAATCAAATATCTACCCCACAAGCTGGAAATCTTGACTGAACAAAGACTTTTAAGAAGTTGTCCTATTCATGGTGTCTTTAAATCAAACTTCTGTTTTTTTTTAAATACAGAATTTACCTTTCAGGTAAAAAAAATATACAATTTTATCAAAGATTTTTAAAAATAGGTTATTTTCTGTATAAGTTTGAAGGAAGTCAATTTTACAAAAAATCAATCTAAACTATTAAATAAATAATAAAAATGCTTGTACATAATTTGAATTATTTGTGGTGTTTTCTAAAGAAAGGTATTTTTGTTTTCTTGAATCTCTGTGTAAAGTATTTATTTTTGGTATCATTTGGTGATGGCCTTTGTACTGGATGTGTGTTTATAATTTTTAATTAATCCAGTTGATGCTTTGATTGATATTAGTTATACTGTGAGTTTCTTTTTCTTACATTTCTATGAATCTAATGTTTAATGCTTAGAAGGAAGCAGTTTAGGTGTATTGTTTCTACTTTTTTAGACAAATTATTGTTTGAAAATATGCTTGTACATGTTCACAAATTGGTGAAAATATCTGTCAGGTGGTCTTCAGTTATTATTATGTAAGAAACTTGCTTGTTTTTTTTTTAATTGGTATTTTGGCCTACAATAAACCTGCATGAAGAATTGTATCCTATGAGAAGAATAAAAACCAAAGATTTTTTTCTAAGGAATTTTAGACCAAAATTAATTTACCTCACTATTCATTTCTTAAATTGTTATTTTTGTGAAAAATTGAGAAATTAACCAATCAAATATATCAGGAGCTGTATTTTTACTGAAATAATTTTGTATCGATATTAATTTTTTTTTAATTTACCACAATATTAAAATATTAAATACTCTTTCTCTCCTGCTAAATTCTTTATCAGTTATTTGTATTTCATTTAATTTAAGGGAAGATGCAATAATTGAAGAACTCAAGTTTGGTTATCTCCCTTCTATGTAACAGAGGAACTGTTTTTACACATTGTAACTAGTTGACTTGAACCCTCTGTAAAGTCTAAACATTTGCAGCATTAAAAACAACAGTTAATGCAGAAATTTGAAGATTAGTTTTGTAAATAACGTTACATATTTATTTTATTTAAAGGCAAACCTAACAATTTTAACAACTACAATTGTTGACAAATAAAGTCATCGTTCAAATCCATTTAGACAATTCAAATGTTTATTTTCCTTCAAATAAAAAAATCAAGATGTTATGTTTTAAGTACTATGAATAGATAAACAACCAACTGGGCTAAAAATCAGCACTTAAAAAGGGGAGAGAACTTTACAGACAACACAAAGAAAACTTAAAAGTGAGACCTAATGTTTATTACATGTTTGGTTTTTTACATGTCCTCATCTCAGGCTAGAATATTGGTCACAGCTGATTCCTGTTGGCTTTTTTTTTAAGTTATTATTATGTTCTGCATATGTAAGACCATATATATATATATATATATATATATATATATATATATATATATATATATATGCCTATATATATATATATATATATATATATATATAAAGAAGCTATCGTAAATTAAATTTCACCAAAGAAATGTGCATTTATTTCTGTACACCTGAATACATGTGCTGTACCGTGGTCCTATTTGTTACACAACGTGACAATTTAACACTAGACCAATCAGATCGTTAACAATCCCCACCCTTCCTCCCCACACAAGCCTTCAGCACTTTAACCAAGACCTTACAGTCGAAGTTGGCGCATGCATGTCTAGTCAACGCTTCTAATTTTAAAAAACAATCCAAGGTCTGTCACGAAAAGTTAATTTTGGAAGATTATCTTGTTATCAAATTTGACAAAAACACACTTCTGTTATATCACGATTAACCAGACTGTAGTTCATTTGAGGAGCTGGGTCGATTTTGTCACTTGTAAATATATAAGATTTAGTGTGTCATTTCATGAAGTGTCTTTTTTCTAAACTGCAACTGTTTTCAACCGTCTTTAAACTTTGGTAGTTGTATTGAACTGACAGTGGATAGTATGTATGATATTTAAAAGACGAAATGCAATTTTTCCCCTACTAGATCTATAGTTAGTTGAGCGCTGGATTGTAAATATGCCAGACTGAGACGTGAACTAGGGAGGGTAGCGAGACCCACATAGTCAGCTGACCGACTCCATGCACGGACCTGACACTATCTTTGGGGGGGGGGGGGGGTGTTAACACTCGACCTGGCCAAAGTTGTTCAATGCAAACACTCATCAACACTGAGTTTAGTGCCGCCGCTAACCTGATCAAAGGGGCTAATTAATGGACTCGTACTGTAGATGTTACCTTTGATCATAAAGTGGGGGGGGGGGGTCTATGCATTGATTAAGGGGTGCAGATTGGTTTGTTTTATGTCCTGAAGAAACATGACATGTAAACAAGATTACTCTGCCCTGTGCCTGTAAACAAGATTACTCTCCCTGTGCCTGTAAACAAGATTACTCTGCCCTGTGCCTGTAAACAAGATTACTCTGCCCTGTGCCTGTAAACAAGATTACTCTGCCCTGTGCCTGTAAACAAGATTACTCTGCCCTGTGCCTGTAAACAAGATTACTCTGCCCTGTGCCTGTAAACAAGATTACTCTGCCCTGTGCCTGTAAACAAGATTACTCTGCCCTGTGCGTGTAAACAAGATTACTCTGGCTTCTCAGCACATTGGTATTCACCCCCTCCCTCCCCACACAATGGTTTTTTTCTCAGGGTCGGGATGTTTGTGGTGAGACTAATTGTATCTTCGTGTAGATTTGTGTGGTATCACAACCTACCATAGTGATCGGGATGTTTGTGGTGAGACTAATTGTATCTTCGTGTAGATTTGTGTGGTATCACAACCTACCATAGTGATATGATGTTTCAAATGTTCAGCAGTTTAAAATTCCCCTGTTTCACCAAACTGTCGTGTTAAACAGTGGCAATTTTACAGCTATGCTAGAGAAACGACCTACTCCTCTCACTAATTCTGGTTCAATTGGTTTGTATGTTGTTTTTAACAGACGTCCTACACTATGTATCGAGAAATTAAAACCTTAATTGGTGGTAGTTTAACCTTTCAAGTTGGATGACGTACAACAGACCTTATATGGTAAGGCAAGTAGGCCCACAACACACGTGTTTACAGGAAAAAATTACTTTCTAATACCTATACCACAGACCAGAGTTTCTTCCAGGCATCTCTTTGGGGGTGGGGGCGAAGACCCCCGAAATAAATTTTACCGCCCCCCCCCCCCCCCGAACGAAATGAAATTTATATAATTTATAAAGAAAATATATACTTTTAACAGTGTCCGCCCCCCCCCCCCCGAAGAAAGTCTACCGCCCCCCCCCCCCCCCCCCGAAAATTTCAAGTGCCCCCCCCCCCGAGAAAAAAGTCTGGAAGAAACACTTCCACAGACATACACACAAACACGCCCACCCACAGACTAATGTTATAAGTTGTCGGTATAAACATGCATAGTATATAGTTTTAATAGATTTAACAATTTTTGGTCTCGAATTTTTGGCCTTCAGATTATATCTAACCAGATTTTATAGCCGTCACAGGCTTATAAGGCTGAACACCACGACATTCGGGCATTTAAAAAAAAGCTTGCGACTGCACGTAGACCCGGCTAGGGCAATGATCTTTGACAACAACAATACTAAAGTGTCGACAGTCAAGTCTTGACGTACAGTTTGAGATAAGGAGTGGTTGGCGTCTCGCCGGAAAAGAACCGATTCCCCGTGTGAAATCTGCCATTTTTGAAACCACAACAAGACTTATTTGCACCCACACGTTGAAATAAATCACAAGCTGGTCTAGATGCTGGATTTGATTACCAGGTTCTAGAAAATGTTCTTTAGTTAACAACCAACTAGTTTTTAAAAGTTTGTATATTCAAACATACAAATGTAATATTCAAGCATTCAAATGTAACATTCAAGCATACAACTGTAACATACATTCAAACAAACAAATGTAATATTCAAACATGCAATTGTAACATACATTCAAGCATACAAATGTAATATACAAGCATACAACTGTAACATTCAAGCATACAACTGTAACATTCAAGCATACAACTGTAATATTCAAGCATACATCTGTAACATTCAAGCATACAACTGTAATATTCAAGCATACAACT